GCAATATAAAGATCTGAAATATGAAGCAATGATGGGTAAAACAAAATTAATAATAGAGGTTATATAATAAGACTGTAAAGTTGGTAAATTAAATAGTTATTACCACCAATTTAAAGCACCAAATGAATTATTTTCAGTAAGTCTTATATTTATTTTAAAGTTAGTTTCCTTAAATTTTTGTATAATCTAGTTATTTTACAAAATATAAAATAAATCTATACTTTAACAATTAGTAGTGTTTGTCCAAAGTGTCCCTCTAAAAGTTAATTTAGATTTTTAAAGATAGTTTAATATTGAATCAATAGCAAACAAAAATATATATGTATAGATCTTGTAAATATAATTATTTTATTCCTTTTAATTATACATGATACTATGGCTTTCATTATAAAGTGATTATATTTTGTTAATAGTTTAACATTTGTTAAACAAATTATAATTTAAAAAACCTGTAAAATAATAAAACCAATATTTAAACACATTTTAAGGATGCTCCTGTTTCTTAATAATGGGAAATTATACAGTAGTTGGACAATGCAAGAATATTTTATTTACATCCCTGCAAAAATGGGAGATGCGATAAATCCAATGATGAGCCCTTTTGTGGCCATTTAAACGTTAAATATTTTATTTATCTTTTTTATCCTCAGTTGTGGACAAAGAAATGGTGTAATAAAAATCAATTTTCCTATGCGTTAGTGGCTGCATGTTTCCTGACGAAAGCTAAACGGGTGAGATATTGCAGCTCCGCAGGATCATGGTGACCTCGACTTGGATCCGAGCAGCGCTGAAACAAACGAGTACAATTAGCACAAGCAAATCCTCGAGAGCTTTCACGTAGCATGCCTGTAAGAAGCCCAGCATTTGCTCCTCGATCGTCCCAGCCATTGCCAAGGTTTCCACAAGCACTGGCCGAGTGGCTCCCATTCGATGAGCACGGCTCACAACTTGTTCCTCGATACTGCCAGGCACTCAAAAGTTTAGAACATAAAAGCAGAAAGAACGAATCCTACTAAAGGCTGATTGAAAGAACCTGCGATCCCATATGGGTTCCATGAGAAAAACATGGGTGACGAAACTTAAGTCCAGTCCAAGAGCAGAGCTGCTATCCATCAAAAGGACGACGCATTTGGGGTTCTCTTGGAACGTTCTCAAGGATTTCATCTGATAGCATCCAGCTTCACAATAAGCAAACGTGAGAAAAAGAAAGGCTTTCTACCTTGCTTGCAGCAGGCATGGGACTGTACATTCCTGCATGCTCTATCCCTCCTTTGGTGAGCTGCGAAGAACACGAAGGTAAGATCGTAAGCCAAACTCGAGACAGCTCTTTACCTGCATTTCAATTGCACTTATATGCTCCAAAAACTGGGAAAACACGATGGCCTTTTCAGGCAGTTTCCCGTTTTCCTGTTGCAGGCCTCTCAGCCTTTCAACCAGATAAGAGACTTTACTGCTTGACGTTGCTTGCCATTCAGAATGCCAGTCTTCCTGCACAACCAAAAACCGTGAGCCAGCTACCTTTGAGTGACCATTCGCTTACTTGGATATAGGATGGTTGTAGCTCGATAAGATCTTGTGGAACTGGCCATTTCGGATTTGGATTCTCTGGACGAGCTTTCGGTGTCTGCATTTGGTACGGTTTTCCACATTCCGGTAAAATGCATCGTTCACAATCCAACGATACGCACGACAAGCACAAGAAGTGAAGACAAGGTGTTAAGATCGGAAGTCTACACCATTCTCCACACCTGCAAACGAAGTAATGGAATCAGTTAAAAGGAAAAAGATAAAACTTTAGTACCTGAAGCAGTTTCCTCCAAGCAGAAGAGAGCCCTTTATGAATCCATACTGGTCCGAGGTTGGATCCATGCCGTCCTGAACAAGCATCTCCATCGTTTCTTGGATATCTTGATTAGCATTCCGGACTTTGATGTGGCCCGCAACGCAGCAAGACAGCCGGACGTTTCTCAGCGTAGTATTCTTGAGCTTCCACTGCTTCGGATTCAAGAGAGATTCGACGTGGTCGGGATCATTCCAGTCTGCCATGAGAAGATTTCTCCGGACCGTCTCCACGAGCTCGTTGTAGCTGGCAGCATGGTTGTCTGTAAATTCCACCAGCTTGACCTTCCGGACGCACGGAGGAATGGAGCTTAAGTCGGCTTTCCTTGCGCTGATCATACACCTCCGGAGGAAGTCCACCAGACGGAGCCTGCCTTCCTCCAAGTGTGCTTCAAAGGGACGCAAAACTGCAGCATCCCAAAGCTTGATCTGGCTACCATAGAGCTCGTCATGGAGGAACCTCAGCATAGGATGGAGATTGACGAGCTGACTGTATGGAGTATCCGGTGTAGGAGTTCCTGTGAGAACCCACCGACATGAAGCCCGCATATTGACAGCCATCTGAAGCTTGTTGGTAAGTGAGAAACTAGCTCCGAGCGTATGCCCCTCGTCCAGAATAATCCGAAACCAGTGTATTTGCATCAGCAGGCTGCTCTCCCTGCTGTTCCATTCAATGCTGAGCCGGTTGAACGTCGTGATGACAATGTCGTAATCCCACGCAAGGCTGTGCGACGTAGGAGTGTTTTTCGAGTCGAGGCAGGCATAAACTCGCAGCTGCTTCTCACTCGTGTGCCTCTGTATCTGAGTCTTCCAGTGCTCCACCAAGTTTGACGGAACCACGATCAAGGTTGCCTTTGAGAGGTATACCCGAGTGACTTCTTCCACGGGCTTTGCTAGAGCACACTTGAGAGCTAACGTATCGAGGTGAAAGCCCGTCAGTCCCTCCGGATACTGCCATTTCGGCACCTTCTTCTTGTCCTGCTTTGGGACGAGACCGAAGGCCAGGAAGAACTCTTCGTACTCGTGGTCCGTCCGTCCTGTGACCGAGACCATTCTCAAGTGCTGCGGAACTGGGATACCCGAGCTTGCCATCTTTGTAAGCTCCAAAGAACGCAAATCTGCTAGCCAGTTCAATGCCTTCTTGGCCTCGGAGTTCAGTAACGCCGCACGGTCCTTCAGGATCGAAAAGAAAAACGACACGTTCCGCTCCAGGCCAGGCTCGCTGCCTTTCCTGTGAAAGCCTTCCAAGTGAGAAATACTGTCTTTCCGGTCCCATGATTCTTCCGGCGCTGAGCAGCTCTGATACTGAGGGTTCCTGTTCATCTTACAAAACCAGGCCGAACCATCCTTCGGAGAGCCACAACCGTTTGCCAGTTTACGCCATTTCTTACAGCCGTCGCATTGCACCCACACATCATCAGCTACTTCTGGCTGCTGTGATACTGCTGCTGCTGCCCCGATATCCCCAACGCCAGCTTCATCGCTACCGTCACCATAGCTGTCCAAAAGCTTCCTCCTGATGCGCAAAGGCTCTAGTATAGAGTCGTCAGCGGCTGCCTTCCGCTTGCCAAACTCGCTTGGAGTTTCCGCTCCGAGCTGATATCTACGTCCCTTCATAGCCATGCATCGCTTCAGTAACGACATTCTCTGCGTCCCTGAGGTTGCTTCGTAGTATCCGATCTTCTCGCCCGACAGACTAGAAGACCAGCAAACTTCAGCACCCGGTGGAGGAGATGGAAAGATCCCCTGGCTCTTCAGTACAAGTGACAAAGCTGTGATGGTTTTTCCCAGTCCCGGCTCGTCGCAAAAGAGACCCCCACGGAAGTCGCTGAGCTCCGGCATCTCGATAGAAATCTCCCCGGTAACGCTGTTCAAAAAGAGGTGGAATCCATCTTCCGTCTGTAAATCCTTATGTATCGGGTTCCTGAAACGTTGTGGATTCGTCTCGCGGTGGAGCATCCACTGGACCGCCGCATTCTGGTGTGGAAACAGTCGAAGGTTCATACAAGGGACGATAAACCTCGTAAGTTCGCGGGTGTGCCGGCAAACCGCTGCAATGCTCAGTAAATCCCTGGGAAGGAGCCTGCTAAAGACGGACGTGAGGATCTCGTCGGGGAGATCCCACAAGCCACTGCACCGACGATCTTCATCACAAGCACAGACTAAGCTGGTGCCCACGAATCTCCTGCCTGCGTCGCCGGCCGAGAGCGAGTTAAAAATCTCGTGAAGACTAAACCTCGTGTTCTTGACGGAAGTGGACACACTGGAGTGTAGAGAGCAGCCAACAACATGGCATTCCGAAAGGTTCCACACGTCTCCGTCATCGATCGAAGAACTTGAAGCTTCAAGCTCTTTCCTCCGGCTCCAATCGCAGCTGCAAGAAAAACGTAAAGTTTTCTCTTTTAGAATCGATCGCCAAAACTATAGAACTTCTTAGAGCTAAGAACGATGCTAAGAACACCAAGACCTATGCTTACCTCAAGTGGCCCATGGCGAAAGCACTGGCACTGCCACCCTTCCAGCTGCTAAGCGTGATAAAATGCCGCAAAGGAAAGAACACATCGATGAGTACCACCGCACGAACCACGGCCCCTTTCTCGACAACCTTGACAACGCGGCCCCGGAATTTCAAGCCGTTCATGGAAGCCACTCTCTGGAGCTGCGAGACAATGCTTGGAATCGTGACGCTAGAGCTGCCCCGCCGCTTCCCTGAGCTGCTGCGACACTTCTCCGAGCTCCGCGACGTGGAATCCGGAGTGGCGGGATCGATCAGCACGGATTCTTCCGCGATTGCGGCTGGAATCGCGTGAAAGGCGTCAATCGCAATGGTAGCGTTGGCGCCCTGGCCAGTTAATTCACACTCGGCTCCCACGAGGCTGGAAAACCTACATTCGTCTGGCGCCTCCTGGACGCCATCGCGGCACTGGACTAGCTCGCCGAAATCTTCACCGCTGTTGGAGCAGCAATCCGGGGGAATGCTGCTGTGATCATGGAGGAGAAGATCGGATTCCACGGCGGTGAGGAGGAACCCGCAGTGCTTGTAATCGCCGCCTTCATCGCAAGAGGAGAACTGGGAGGAAGCTATACCTCGCGAATTGCCCGATCGCTTCCTCTTCTGGCCGCGCCGCGAGGCCGCCATCGCTCTCGCACAGCAAACCCTAAAATATATGGTCGATGAGATTCTTTAAAGCGAGCGAATTCTTCGCGGGGGTTTTTTCGTGCCGAGAAGAAAGCAAAGATCAAAGCTAATTCATAGAAGAGCGCTCACGCCGTGGCCAGATTCTCAGGCGCCGGGTGCTGTTCTTCCCATTGCTTGGGCGTCAAGGCCTTGCGGATGGAGAGGGCGTGGATGTCTTTGAGCTCCTCAGCCAGCGCCGCGTTCACCAGGCGATGGCGCTCCAGTAGCCTCTTGCCCTCGAAATTCGAAGACGCGATCTCGATGTCGAAGCTAGCCCCACATCTACAATCCAAGAGAAACATTAGGGAAGGCCAGAGAATTCTCTCACAGATCATCACCGCGCGCTTACCCTCCGGATGTATCGATGACGACCTGGAAGGAAAATCGCGAGAAATTGAAAAGTGAGAACCAGCCGCGAGGATCAGGAGGCGAGAACTAGTAAGAACATGGGCTTACCAGATGGGTCGGGGTGAGCTTGGCCTTGAGCGTTTCCTCGACGCCCTCCTTGGTCACTCCCATGGCGAGATTGGCGATAATGGCGTTTTCTAGTCGCGGAGCCGTCCGATACGATCCAATCGCACGGCTGGATCCCTCCTCTGCGCGAGTCAGCTGGTTGTAAAGTATTAAAAAGATATGTAAATGCATATATAATTTTAAAATATTTCAAAAAAAATTTAAACATTTTTTAAAAATTTGGTTTTATATTTTAAACATTTTGTGATTTTATTATTTTTCTTTCATGATTACAATGTTTTTTATCAATCTTCAATTTAAAACAAAGATTGATAAGTGTGTAGTTTTAATTTTCAATAAAGGTTATTAAAGATTTTATTTTCTCATAAGGGACACAAAAAATTAAAACATTTCCTAAAACAAGTTTATTATTCATGATTGTTTTAAAAACACTTTCTTAAGATAAATAATTTTGTTATGAATAGAAAAAATTTAATTAATTCACTATAATGGTGAGTATTAAGAAAGCAAAAATTGAATGTAATTTGAACTCGTTCGAAAGACAGTAAAAAAGAGATAGTGACAATTGATTGTAGTTGATATGTTATCCAAGGTAGCATTCCTGAAAAAAAAAAGACTAAAATTAAAAAAGAAAAATAAAAGAAAAATTTACTATCTAAGAGTAACCTAGAACATATCTTTGGTTGCATTAGTGAATTCTGATTTAACACCATTTGGTAAAAACTAAATATTTAATTTCATTTGTTGATATGCCTCCAAGCGTGCGCCCTTTAGGTAAGGGGAAAAAGTTGCATCCACGGGTAAAAAAAAACAAAAGGAAAACTTTTGCATTTATTACAACAAAAGCAAAAAAATATTATTTTACATATAAATACAAGAAAAAATACTTTGTGATAAATTAATCCATCAGTGGTCCATCGTCAACTACATATTATCTATCAAAAAGGCTCTCTCTACTACTCTAAACTCATAACAAATACTATCTGTACAAGATAGGCTTTCAAGGAAAGATTATTTAATTGATATTAATACAATTTATAACAGTTATTTCAATTAGTTATAAATTCTTTAAGAAAAATATTATAATTTTAATTTGGATAGTATACATATAAACACTTTAATAAAAATTATTGTAATAATAATAATAAAAATATTAATAACATATTTTGCTGTAAACATCTTAAAGAAACAATTTGTAAAACTTTTAGAATTATTAATATTATATATATTGTAGATGAAAAATAGAATTTCAAAAATGTCTCACAAGGGTAATGACAATGCTGAAATTAAATTTAAAAAATTAGAAATAATTTTTTATTAAATTTATAAACTGTAGACTTTTATTTATAAATTTCAATACTTTTATTTACTTTTGAAGAGTGCACTTTAATTATAAATGTAATTATAGTTTATGGATTTGTTAATTGTCATTTAAATTTAAGATTGTAATATATATGTATTAATATCATTTAAATATTAGTAAAGAAGTAGAAAAATATTGGCACTTATTGTTTTTAAGAGTCATAAAAGAGGAAAAACGTTTTACCTTATTTTTTTCTTTATACTCAATAATAAAAAAATAATTCCAAGGCATTATTCTCTTTATTATTTGTAAAATTAATTAATTAACTAACTAAATTTATATAAAAAAATGCTATGCATTGCATGTAGCAATGTTTTGTTTGTTTAATAGTAGTGCTATTCTTATTTATTAATCCAATTGATCAAATAATGTTTATAATTATAAGAATGTTTGTAATTTATAAATACAAGATTAATCTTATTGAATATATAGATAATGTACTAAAAAATAATATACTAGATAGGGTTTAAGAAAGTTTATACATTATAAACATGTATAAAATTATAAATACAAAATTAACAACCATTAGATGGTAGAATATTCTAAAATATTCAAACATAATTTTGATATATTCACTACCATCCCAGTCCCTCTACAAGTTTGCTTATGCAGACCAAAAACATCATATCTAAAGTTTTAACATATTTAACCATGTTTTGATATAGATTATAATTAAATTCAGCATTTTCTTATAAGGCTACATTGTTTTAGTGATTATTGTTAAAGTAGTAACCTAATTTAAGTCATAAAAGTGTGAGTGCATGGAATATGGAAAGGGAATACAGAAATGTGCATCTCAATTAGCCCAAAAACCCTAGCTTATATACAGGAGCGAGTGGTCCGGATTGAAACCAATCCGACGGCTACCAAAATCCACTACGCTAATATTAGTATACGGCATTGTAGCCGTACACTTGGCCCTCATATCATCCCCTCCTCTCGGAATAATGGAAGGCCGTCAGGGTTCTCTTGTATATGAGCCGGGATCTGGAGGAACGTCAGGAGGAGGCATTGGTGGATCTGTAGACGGTATTAACTGCTCCTGATCCCTTTGTATGAAGTGTTTTAACCGCTGCACATGCACAATCTCCGGAGGATCAGCCTGCTGAACGTCATGCCGAACCTCATAAACTTGTGGTCCAACTTGCCGCAACACCCGATACGGTCCTTTCCACTGCACAAGGAGCCCCTTAGATAAACCACGTACTGTAAGATGGGGAAAATGGACTAACACCAAATCATCCACTTTGTACTCCGCAGGTGGACGATGATGGGAATTGTAGCGCCGTTGTTGTCCCACTTGTACGCGGCCTAAGTGTTCAGCAGACTCTGCTCGGACAAGTGGAAGAATGCTTGTCAAATATTGATCCCATGACCTAGCATCAGGAGCTCGTGGCAATCGCGAAGGTAAACCCAGCTCAGTTGGTAATATTGGATCATGACCATATAGAAGTTTATATGGTGAAGCACCAACAGAACTCTGCACCCCTGTGACATAGGCATACCGAAGAGACGGCAAATAACCATCCCAATCTGAATGTTGAAAGTTCACATACTTCGCAATCATCCCTTTGAATGTCCGAACGAGCCGTTCCACCAGACCGTTTGATTGTGGATGATAAGCACTCGTAAAAGTGTGGCGTATCCCCAACCGAGATGTCAAAACATGAAATACCTCAGCCATAAATGCAAGACCATTATCCGAAAGAATCCGCTCTGGACAAGAATGCTGGAATACCACTCGATTGAGGAGGAAGTATCCAACAGCAGTTAGAGCACCAACTTCCACCCAACGAGTCAAGTAGTCAGAAGCAATAATAATATACTCATTGCCAGCAGTCGATCGCGGAAAAGGTCCCATAAGATCAAACGCCACCAACTCAAACGGACGAGAAACTGCAATTGACTCCAACCGTCCTTCCGCAGCACAAGGGGGAGTATTACGAGCTTGGCACCAAACGCAGCTACGCACATACCGGATAATATCACGTCGCATCTCTGGCCAATAGAAAGATCTGCGCAGCTTCTCAGTGACACGACGGTGTCCCATATGCCCACCTAGAATAGGAGAATCATGGTAGGCATGGAGAAACCGCAGAATAAACACCGAAGGCACCACCAGCCGTAAATGATCAGCAAGATCCGTCCCCACAAAATAAAGAAGGCCATCTTTAAGGCGATATTGAGAATGTAAATGCCGAAAAGGCAAGTCATCAGCAAGTGATGCAGGATTCTCAAACCCACCTCGAAGCCTTCGAATCCACAGCTCAATCTTTTGAGCCTCGCGAACCTCATCAAGAGAAGGTAGATCTTGCTCTACACCCTGTGGACACTGAACGTCAAGGACAGCAACCGCCGACGGCACAGAATCCTCATCTAGAAAATCCACAGATGCTGGAACAACAGGTTCGTCAGAAACATGAGAAGTGAGTGGAGAAGGAAGAGGAGCTCGAGAAAGGGTATCAGCATCAGCCATAGAACTCCCTGGGCGATGAACAACATCGAAATCATATATCTGAAGCTTCAAAGCCCATCGAGCCATACGACCAACTAGGTTCTTCCGCTTCAATAATGAAGTAACAGCAGCATGGTCACCTTCAAGTAACGTCCGAGAACCATGTAGATATGCATGAAGTTTCTCGAAACCCCAGACTGCTGCTAAACACTCCTTCTCCGTCGTGGAGTAGTTCATCTCCGCTGGTTGTAATGTACAGCTGATGTATGCAATGGGATGGCGCTGACCAGGCACACTCGAGCTCTCTTGCATCAACACACCTCCAAGACCAATGTCAGAAGCATCCACGCGCAAAATAAAAGGTCGAGTGTAGTCAGGATATGCCAAAACCGGAGGAGTCGTCAATAGCTCTTTGAGATTCACGAACGCCCGCTCACAATCGGGAGACCAGATGAAAAATGACGTTGATGACTTCAGCAACGCTCGCAATGGTGTAGTGCGATCGGAAAGATGATCCACAAAACGACCGAGATACTGCACCTTACCCAAAAAGCGCTGCACATCATTCACACACTTTGGAGTAGGGAACTTTAGAACAGCCACAAGTTTGTCAGGATCAACTTGCAAACCCTCACGAGAAATACGGTACCCAAGATAAGTTGTGTCCTTGGACCCAAACACGCACTTCGACCGCTTCAGCTTTAAACCAACGTCGCGTAGCCGATCCAACACTTTACAAACATCACGAACATGCTCCTCCCACGTCCCCTCCGAGTGGATCAAAACATCATCAATGAAGTCAGCCGTCACCTCCGGCATATCGTAAAGAACCTCGTCCATCATCCGCTGAAAAGTTGCTGGAGCATTGTTCAAACCAAACGGCATCACCAAAAACTCGTACAAACCAAATGGTGTACGAAAAGCAGTCTTAGGAATATCTTCTTCAGCCATCGGTACTTGCCAATACCCAGAAGCAAGATCTAACTTGGTGAACCAACGACTTCGCCCCAGACGATCCAAGAGATCAGCAGTGTGAGGAAGAGGGTACACGTCCGGGATCGTCACTTCATTTAACGGACGATAGTCGATGCAGAAACGAATACTCCCATCAGGCTTCGTCACAAGATGAGGTTCACATGCCCAAGGACTCCGCGACTTCCGAATAACACCCTTCTCCAACATCTCCTTGACGTTTGCACGTAAAATCTTGATCTCCTTGGGTGACCGATGACGAACAGGAACCTTGATTGGACGAGCATCCCCGGTTGGAATGGGATGACGTGTGGCAATCTTGGCCCCAGACGATAGGTC